GGCTTATTTTTATGTAGCATCTATATTGTAGTATATTGTCAAGAATGCTGAACTTAGAGTAAGAAAATTTGAGTTTACAACCTAGCTCTATATAGAAATAATTCAATTTAATTCAGTAAATATTTATTTATATTAACTATGTGACAGATAAAATGCCAGGCGCAGATCTTGCCTTGAAGTAATGGGAGCACAAATGCTATTGGTTATATTTGAGAAATTCTAGGTAAAAGGACAAGTAGTAGAGGACTGAAAATAGATAAGTAGTTCCTCTCTTTCCAAGATGTGGAGAAATATATTCAGATTCTTGAAACAGCTTGATGTTCATCTCTTTCATTTCCAGAACAAATGATCATATATGATGATTTGTAAGCCTTGGGTTAAGGAGCTACGATCATTAAGAATTAGGGTTTTTTGAGAATGTTAGGTTAAATCTGATTTCTCTCTTCTGAAGGACTGGTCAGTTTGAGGAATAGCATTTATACAGAAGACTTATATCTCATCTTTTATGATATCCTGTGTACAAAATGTTAAAATGGGAACTGAATGAGATTTGAGTTTAGCAATGTGTTTAGCCAGTTTATTAAGCTTGTGCAACAAATATTTCTAGTTCATCCCACAGCTTGTGAAGTTCAAACCCTCCCTCTAAGAAAGGTTATTTCTCCATGACTTCCTCTACTTTCTCAACTCCTGATTCCATAGGTACTGTTTCTGGGTTGTTCCATATCTACCCACAGCAAAACTCAACATCACTTTGAGTTGTCACTCCCTCTCAAATATTCACTTGTACAAAGCATTTATGAGGAATATAGATTTTTACCAATGATTTTGTATAGTAGAATGAGAAGATAATTAATTCCAATAACAAAAACAACTTAAATAGTCATTTTAGGCATATATGACTTAGAAATATCAGCTGAGTTACAACTTTGGAGTTTCACTGGTTTCTCAAGTTGGCACAGCCAAACACCAGTTTTCTGGCTCTTTATTTCCACTTTTCCCATATTTCTTATCCCATTCTCTTTTATTCTCACTCTTGCAAAAATAAAATGACAAGATTTCTCTTTCTGGTTCTGAGGTGCAATTTCTTTCCACCTCTGAATACTTTGAAACAGCTGACATCAGGGTACTGGGTGGGGTTGGGAGGTGAGGGATCAGAGCAAGTTGTTTGCCTGCATTCTATCCACAAACGCTTATTAAGCCACCTTCCCAAACGAGGGTAGTGTACACTGTACAAAGCATTCTGGCAAATAAAATTTTGTTTTCTCAACCTCAAAACATGTAGATTTTTATCTGGTTGATCAGTAGGTAAATATAATTTTGGAAATTTGTGGTAGATTATTGTGAGCTCCAGATTCTAAACTTGGCCTTGTGTTGCTAATTTCTCTAAAAAGAACTTGGGCAAAATATTGGAAGGCATGCTTATCAAAATTTTGAATAAAAGAATACTGAAATAGCTGATGAATTGGTTGATGCAATCAATCGTCTGGATTAATAATATAAAATGAACACAATAAAATTTAATAGAAATAAATGTAAAATGATACATTTAGATTCAAAAATTTAGATTATCATATAAGAATTGGAAGATACCTGGCTGTGATGGTCAATTTTATATGTTTGCTTGGCTAGGCTACAGTCTTCAGTATTAAATCAAACACTAGTTGTTTCTGTGAAGGTATTTTGTAGATGTTATTAAAACTCATGAGCAGGTGACTTAAGTAAGAGAGATTATCCTAGATGATTTTTGTTAGCCTGATTCAATCAGTTCAAAGGCTCTAAGAATGAAACTGGGGATTCCCTGAGGAAGAAAAATTCCACTGTGAACAGTGGCCTCAGCTTCTGGACTGAGAATTCCAGCCTAGCTTTCATGACAAACTACCTGATGGATTTTGGACTTGCCCAGCCAGCCCCCACAATCATGTAAACCTTAATTCATAAATCCTTTAACACATATCTCCTACTGGTTCTTTTTTTTTTTTTTCTGTTTGAACCCTGACTGATACACTGGCTTAGTACCTTAGGTGAGAAAACATTTCAGTTTGCTCTAAGTTTATTATGGGTCATCACTGTAAGTGATGCCAAAAGCAACTAATAGAATCTTAGAAACAATATGCATGAGCCACAGTATTCAGTGAGGTAGGACAACAGCTCCATTATACTCTGCGTAGAGCAGTCCATAGCAGGATTATAAGCTTAGATGACCTCTAAAGTTCCCTAATTAATTATAAAATTCTGTAATTTTATTTTTAATAACTATGCTTCTATTACATACCACTAAAAATACTTCACCCTTTTGGTTCATGCCATTTCATTTTCTTTGTCTAGAAAACCTGGTATGTCAGATGTCTTCTCATTGCCTGTCTAGATCCACTCCATTCTGTTCTGTGCCCCGGGCCACTAACCCACATAGACTGCATCAATGGACTCCCTTTCCCTCCAGCTTCTGGTTAGGTTTGGCTAAAAGGCACCAGCAGGTGGGATGGAGGGTAGAGAGTGAGGTAGGGATATTTTATTCCCTGGCTCCCTATTCTGGGTTGCTGCTGGCTGGCTTTCTCTCTTGAACTAAGGCCGCAGTTCTGTCAGAGAGCCCTCTCCACATACCTCTTGATTTCTTTCTCCGCTTTCCAGTAGACACTACTGCCCTGTTACTCTTCAAGTCTAGGAGTGGTAATGCCATTGCTGTTCCAACCAAGTGAGGACGTTGTGGTTTCTCTACATCCTGTCTGCACCTTTATAAATAGTCCCTTTATTAAACTTTTCTCAAATAACTCAGTTTAAATATACCATTTGTTTCTTGTCAAAAGCCAAGTAACAGACATACCAACATTTTTATGTTGTATTTAGAACCAACTCTTCAATTGAGCAGTAAACCAGTGTTTTGGTATAAATATGGAGAAAATTACTCTTAAAATATTAAGAGTTAAAAAATTTAAAAATCTGTGTCGAAGCAAGATTCTCATAAACAGAGAGTAGGATCAATAAGAGTCCTTTCAGCTCCAAAACTAATCTTCATCTCTTCTGCAATATTTTGATTCTCAATTTCTATCTATGGCTCTTATTAGCAGTAATCACTTTTCTGTATTTCCTTCTGTCAGAAGGACATATTTTCTAATATATGTAAAGCTCGATGAATGAATATTATGACTTGTAATATAAGGCTTCTCGAATGTCCTTGGAACACTTATGCAGGCAGCAATGAATACATGTACACTCCCTAGAGGCCTGGAGGAGAGAAAGATATTTTTTCAAAGTTTTAGGTTTGATAATTCAAAATATGAATTTCAAAACCTATTGCATACATTACAGCTGTTTGTTGTAAAATAAAAATGTTTTCAATTATTTAATTTCCCTTAAAACCTTCAAGTAAATTTGGTGCTCTGGAAATTGCAGTATTTTTATCATACAGTTCTATATTTTTCCAAAACTGTTTTGAGAAGCATGGGATTAAAATTTTTTGATATTGTGTCAACTTACTTTTGTGAGAAGCATATGGCATAACGGTTAAGAGCATCTAAGTTTAAATCTCAGTTTCCTAACCAAATATTAGTTTTGTGATGCTAAGCAAATTATTTTTCTGTGCTGCAGGTTTCACATCTTATAAAGTGAAGACAATAGGAGCCTATCTTAAATTGGTTAAAGCACTTAAAATAATATGAAAAATACTCAATTAGCATTACCTTATTATTTATTATTATTAGACATAATATAACTACTTTCATATATGGGTGATTTCATATAAGAGTGATTTCATTTGAAGGGTGACATCGTTTGCTCTTTCAAACAGTGCTTAACCTCCACCTACCTTATTTGTGAAATTAATCATTGCTTTTTAATTTTTCTATCTAACTTACTGAAGTCCACAGCACACCAAATGCTTACAACTAGTGGGATTTCCTTTAGTACGTGTGTGCATCTCTGTTCCCACCCCTTGCATGCTTCCCAAAAACCTGAGTGCTTGTTCCTAAGCTTGTTTGTACCAGTTGCACTGTTATTGTAACTACAGAATTTAATTAAGCAACATGTAAACTAATTAAATATTAGTGCAAAAACAAAATGTGTTTCTGTGTAAAGTAATTGAAATACTAAGAAAAAACTTGATAAAGAAGAGTTACTAAAAATTATCCAATATAATTGTAGGTGAACCATCTGTAAATGAGTGGCTGTAAAAGTCCACAAATACCTGACAGGATTCTGCCAAGAGATTGCTCCATAAATGTCTTTACTCTTTGTTTCATTAAAAATCCGAGATGGGAAATAGATGATGTATTTTGAGTGTGGTTTCTACTAAAAATGCCAATCAGTAGACCTATGCTAAGTAAAATGTAGGACATGTCAAAAAATGATCAAAGGAAATGTTTTAATGTGTGTGCTTTAGATTTAAAATCCAAATATGTATATTACGTTTATAATGCTATTAAAAACTGATCATCTTAATTTTTCTCTGCCAAAATTTTCCTCTCTTAAATAAGATGTTAGTAACATAGTAATTCATATACATCTGTTAGAAAACAGTAAGATTTCATGCATGAGATTTAAATAAAATGTTGAAATTGATTCTTAAATTTTGTAATTGAGCACTAGTTAACTCCTACACACAGAATTTATGCAGACCTTGTTTATATTTTCTAGACCATTCTTGCATCCAAAATTTATCCACTAATCAGGTATGTCTTTACTAGGAAGAGTTGCAGATAGCTAGATTAGGGGAAAAAAAGGGGTATTACATTAATTTCAATTTTCTTTAAAGTATGAGGTTTTCTATTAGCAGAATAGCTGATAAAAGTTTATACACATAATTTTGGAGATTTTCCCCCCATGAGTCCTAATTATCAATATAAATTCATCAGTATAAAGATGGAGATAGAAGCTGACAAAATATAAGGCTTTTGTGTATATAAATATTTCTGATTATCCAAAGGCTTTTCGAAAAGTAGCTCTAAATTTTGATTGTAGATTACATAGTCACTTTAAATTTACATGTGAAAGGGAATTCTACTTACAATAATTTTGATTTCTTTTCAAGAGATCTTTATTTTGAATTCCTTTTATTCTTAATTTACGTTGATTCTTCTTTTTTTCAAAGACACTTTCTCTTTTATTGATTACTTTAACCAAGTTTCTTCGTTCCAATATATGTGATAAAAACTGTTTAATTTCATTCACTGATACCTACAAAGAAAAAGATTTTTGCCCATTTTTTTGTGTAACTTAAAAAAAAATAAAACAGGAAAGTAAAAGTTCATTTAGTCATGGCAAAAATACTAGTTTAATGAAATCACTCTAATTCCTTCTTTTTTTCAAATCAAAATGATAGATGACTTATTTCACTTTAAAAATTCATATCTTTTATGAGTAAAAACCTTTTAAACATATTGCATTGTCATCTAAAGTGCAGAGCCAAGTATTAAAACCTAAAAGTTATCAATAAAATAGGAGAATTTAACCAATTTTACTCCTCTATAGGTGAATTTTCCTGATAATATCAAGAGTGTGATCTTAAAAAAAAACAAAAAAGATGGTGGTATTGCTTGACACAGTACAGGAAATCTATAATTGATAGAAAGTAAGAAAATCCTGTGACTGCCTAGAATAAAAATGTAAAAATATGTTTTCCAAAGTACTTTACAGAAATTGTATAATTAATCTATTTTAATTAGGGAGAGGGATTTGGAGGAGTTGTTTCTGAGTAGTAGAAAATAATGCAAATTTTAAGAGAGAAAATTTAAAAGCTTTATGGAGATACATATTCATGACTCACATATATACTCTTTCAGGGAAAATTTTATCAGAAGATTTAAAAAAAATTCTTTGTCAACTACTACTTCCAAAAAGAGTCAAGTTTTTAATTTGCTTTTTAATTTTTTTTTTTCAGTATCATAATTTAAACTTCTTATTTCCAAGAACACTTTCTGGAATGCTTAACACCTTCTTATACATAGCAAAGAGATTAGAGCAGTGACCCAGAGGCTAGAGCATGCAGGGACATGGAGCTAAGTAAGGACTTTCATTTATGTATGTATGTATTTATTTATTTATTTTCCATTGCACCTTTATTGTTTGCTCACTGTTCAGAATTTTCATAATCTCTATAGAATCACACAAAACATGTTAGATAGCTCTCTCCTCCTGACATTCCATTTTATTTCTAACCAGACTCCTCTTGTCTCTAGTCTTTATTGGCATGATATTGTGCCAGTGTCCAAGGAGTTCCCGGGGGTTGTTCATTTTTATGGGGATGGGAAGGGATATATACAGAATGGCCCTCAGCAAAGCCATAGGTTTGTGTCCTGACCCCTAAAGGCAAGGACTTTTATTTTTAAACAGCTTTATTGATATATAATTAACATACTATAATTATAAATTGTACATTTAAATTTTACAATTCAATGGTTTTTAGAATATTCACAGATTTGTGCAACCATCACTGTAGTTAATTTTAGAACACTTTTATTATCTCAAGAAGAAACTACATATCCTTCAGCTATTGCCCTCCCTATTCTTCTGTTCACCTTACTCCCAATCCCAGCAACCACTAATCAATCTATCTTCTATCTCTATAGATTCCCCTATTCTGGACTTTCATATGAATGAATTTTTATACAGTATGTAGGTTTTTGTAACTAACTTTCACTTAGCACTGGCTTTCACTTAGCACAATACTTTCAGAGTTGATCCATGTTGTGTGCATCAGCACTTCATTCCTTTTTATGGCCAAATATTCATTATATGGATAAACTACATTTTGTTCATCCATTCATCTGCTGATGGACATTGGGTTGTTTCCATACTTTGTTATTATCAATAATGCTGCTCCAAACATTCATGTACAAGTTTCTGTGTGGATATGTAAGGACTCTAAGTATGATCCTTCCTATTGTTGGGTGGCCAAATTCAGCAAATAAAAATCTAAGATGCCCAATCAAATTTGAATTTTACATAAGAATGGATTTTTTAAAACTGTAAGTATGTGTGAAATATTACATATTAACAAATAGACCCACAATATACAATGGCTTAAAATCAATAGGCAGATGTTCAAGTCACGCCATGCTGTCATCCAGGGACCAAGGCAGATAGAGGCTGGCTTCAACATATGGATTCCAAGGTTTTGTTAAGCATTGATATCTATCAGACAGGGAAAGACCATGGAAGATCATGCACAGAAAGAGTTTTTTATTGTATTTGTTTCATTTTGTTTTGTTCTCTTTTTCTTAACAGAGAAGACCTGGAAGTAGCATGGTGCTTTTAGCCACTTTCTACCAAGTGAAACTGTCACATGGCTCTACTCAACTGCACAGGGATCTGGGGAAACATACTATCTGGTATCATGAAGATGAGAACATGAACTTTGATGAGCTTCCAGCATTCTCTGGGACAATGGGATAATCATGTTATTGCCATTAAAAGAAACAATTTTTTTCTCACTTCTGTTAGAATAGCTGTTATCAACAGCACAAGTAATAACAAATGTTGGAGAGGCTGCAGAGAAAAAGGAACTCTCATACACTGCTGGTAGAACTGCAAATTTGTACAGCCACTATGGAAAATAGTATGGAAGTTCCTAAGAATCGATTTACCATATAATCCAGCAATCCCTTTACTGAGTATTTACCCCAAAGATTTGAAAACCCGTATCAGAAAAGATATTTTCACATCGATGTTCATAGCAGCATTATTCACAGCGGCCAGGACATGGAAGCAACTGAAATGTCCTACAAAAGATGATTGGCTAAAGAAGCTGTGGTACATATATACAATGGAATATTCTTCAGCCATAGAAAAGATGAAATACTGCCATTTGTGACAACATGGATGGAACTCGAAATAATCACGCTAAGTGAAATAAGCCAGATTGAAAAAGTTGAAAATCACATGATATCACTTATATGTGGGATACAAACCTAAAAGCAACAAACAACAAAGAAACAGAGACACATGGCCATGGACAATAGACTAGTGGTTACCAAAAGGTAAGGTGGGGAGGGGAGAGGGGAGTGGTAGATGGGGTAAAAGGGGTCAAATGTATGGTGACAGAAAGAAATTTAACTATGGGTGGTGAACACACAATACAATGTATGTATGCCTTACTATTAAATTGTACACCTCAAACTTACTGGATTTCATTAACCAATGTCACTCTAATAAAAATAAATTAATTTAAAAAAGATTTTACTAAAAAATCCCAATTTTTAAAAATTAAATTTATTTGAGTGACATTAGTTAATAAAATTATATAGGTTTCAAGTGTACAATTCAATACTACGTCATCAATATATTGTATTGTGTGTTTGCCACCCAAAGCCAAATCTTCTGTCACCATATGTTTGACTCCCTTTAACTATCTACTCCCATCCCCCACCCCTGTACCCTTTCCCTCTGGTAACTATTAAACCGTTGTCTGTATCTATGAGTTTTTGTTTGTTTGTCTTATTCACTTGTTGCTTTCAGTTTCATATTCCACACACAAGTGAAATTATATGGTTCTCAGCCTTTTCTGTCTTATTTCACTTAGCATGATTATCTCAAGATCCATCCACGTTGTCACAAATGGCAATATTTCATCTTCTTATGGCTGAGTAGTACTCCATTATATATATGTACCACATCTTCTTTATCCATTCATCTATTGAAAGACACTTTAGTGTTTTCCATATTTTGGGCATTGTGAATAATGCTCCAATGAACATCAGGGTGCATATATCTTTACAGATAAATGTGGTTTTGATTTGTACTTCTCTAATATCTAGTGAAGTCGAGCATCTTTTCATGTCTGTTGGCCATTTGGATGTCTTCTTCAGAGAAATATCTGTTCAGGTCCTCTGCTCATTTTTTAATTGGATTGTTTTTCTGTTGTTCAGTTGTATGAGTTATTTATATATTTTGGATATTACCCCTTATCAGATATCTTGTTTGCAAATATCTTCTCCCATTCAGTTGGTTGCTTCTTTGTTTTGTTGATTTCTTCTGCTATACAGAAGCTTTTTAGTTTGATATACTCCTTTTTGTTTATTTTTGCTTTTACTTCTCTTGTCTTTGAGGTCAAATTCATCAAATCCTCTCTAAAACCAAGGTCCTTGAATGTAGTACCTATATTTTCTTCTATGCATTTTATTGTTTCAGGTCTTACACTTAGGTCTTTGATCACTTTTGAGTTAATTTTGGTGTGTGGCAATAGATAACAGTCTAGTTTCATTATTTTGCATGTGGCTTTCCAATTTCCAGCACCATATATTGAAGAGGCTTTCTTTTCTCCATTGTATGCTTTTGGCTCCTTGGTTGAAAATTATCGGCCCATACACATATGGGTTTTTTTCTGGGCTCTCAATTCTGTTCCATTGGTCTGTGTGTCTGCTTTTCTGTCAATAGTATAATGTTTTAATTATTGTCACTTTGTAGTATAATTTGACATCAGGCAGAGTGACACCTCTGGTCTTGTTCTTTTTTCTTAGGATTGCTTTGACTATTTGGGATCTTTTGTGATTCTATGCAAATCTGATGATTTTTTTGTTCTATTTCTTTTAAAAAATGCCATTGGGATTTTGATGAGAATTGCATTAAATCTGTATATTGCTTTGGGTAATATGGCCATTTTAACTATGTTGATTTTTCTTATCCACGAACACAAAATATCTTTCCATTTCTTTGTGTCTTCTTTGATTTCTTTCAATAGGGTCTTATAGTTTCCATTATGCAGTTCCTTCACATGTTTCATTAGATTTATTCCTAGGTATTTTATTCTTTTTGTTCCAATTGCAAAAGGAATTTTTTTTTTTCGGTTCTTTTTCTAAAATTTCATTGTTACTATATAAGAATGCAATGGATTTTTGTACATTGCTTTTGCATCCTGCAACTTTATTGTTTTGTTTATTATTTCTAATAGTTTCTTTTTTTGGGGGGAGTGGAGTCTTTAGGATTTTCTATATAAAGAATCATGTTGTCTGCAAAAAGTGACAATTTATTTTTTTCATTTCCAATTTAGATGTCTTCTATTTCTTTCTTTTGCCTAATTGCTCTAGCCAAGTGAAATTAGGCATCCTGTCTTGTTCCTGATCTTAGAGACAAATTTTCAATACAAAAATAATGAATGGGTAAGTTAAAGGGGCAGTAAAAACTTGTAAAATGCTTCTGAATGTCTGGTGTTTTTATCTCCTTCTACAGAGGCCGTTGTT